ACAGGCGTGTGCCACCACGCCCGGCTGATTTTTTAAAATTTATTGTATAGACGAGGTCTCACCAAGTTGCCCAGGTGGGTCTTGAACCTGTGGGCTCAGGCAGTCCACTCACCTCGGCCTCCCAAAGCACGGGATTACAGGCTGAGCCACCGAACCTGGCTGGAAAGAGCTTAGTTTTTTTTTTTTGTTGTTGTTGTTTTTAAATTGTGGTAAAACGTGCATAACATGGCATCTACCATGATAACATTTTTAGGGTGAGATCCTTCTGAATCTAAGAGGCCAAATTCCTCTGGGTCGCTATTCTTTTATTTATTAAAAATTTTTTTTTTTTACTATTCACTTGTACTTAGGAGTAGATTACTTACTTTTATATTTCTTCATAAACTATACATAACATAAAATTTACAATTTTAAACATTTTTAAGGGCACAATTTTGTGGCATTAAGTATATTTACCTTGTGCAACTGCCACCACTATCCATCTCCAATTTTTTTCATCATTCCATATTGAAACTCTATACCCCTTAAACACTAACTCCCCATTTCCCCCTTGCCCCAGTCCCTGGTAACCACTGGTTTACTTTCTTTCTCTATGAATTTGACTATTCTAGGTACCTCATATGAGGAGAACCATACACTATTTATCCTTTTGTGTCTATCTCATTTCACTTAGCATAATTCTTCAAGGATCATTCATGTTGCAGCATGTGTTAGAACTTCCTCTTTTTAAGATGGAGACAATTCTGTCATACGTACACACCGCATTTTATGTATCTGTTGATGGACATTTGGGTTGCTTCCACTTTTTTGGCTACTGTAAATAATGTTGCTGTGGAAAATGCTACACAAACATCTCTTTGAGATCTTGCTTGCAGTTATTTTCGGTGTATACTCAGAAGTGAAATTGCTGGATCCCGTGGTAATTCTGTTTAAGAAGAGGCTAGATTTGAAGACTGATCTGGATTCAGTTTTAGCTCCAACCCCTGGCAGATATGTCATCTTGGTGCAATACAGCCTAGTGGTTCCATGAATGAGGTGGAAGGCCGGCTACCTAGGCTCAGGCTTTGGCTTCCCTGCTACCTAACTATTCCTTATCTTCCCTGTGCCTCAGTTTGTCTTACAGCCTATCTGTAAAACAGGAGAATAAATGTCTTTGTCCCAAAGGGTTCTTGCAAAGATTAGCTGTTATCATTCTTTTGATCCTTTGTTACATCTAAAATGATGACTTAGGAATGACTTCTGGGGTCTATGAATCCCTTAATGTTACATGTCAATCTTTTTGTACAAGTGCATGCTTATGTCTTTCTGAGGTTATAGTGGTTTATATTTTTCCTTTTGCAATGAGATTTGCAATGAGGCCCTGATCTATCAAAAAGGAAGAACCACTACCCTAAAAGAAGTTAGCACACCAAGCTTTACAAACGTAAGCTTGATTAAGGAGATTTATAAAATGTCCCATGATGCTTTGGCATGAGGTAGTCTATGTGTTATCTTTGCTTTCCTGGCTAAATTCCAGTCAAGGAAATTCCCTTGGAGAAATCCCCTTTCTGTTCCCAACTATTATAGTATCGCTATAAATGATTAAAAAAAAATTTTTTTTAATGTGAAATTCCTTATATAGATACAGAGTAAGATATTTAATTGATACAGACATACCAAAATGTGTGTGTATTTGTGTGTATATATAATACATATATATTTTGACCTAACTTTGATTTTGGATACTCATTTCTTAGAACTCAAAGTAGTGTAAATATAACAGAAGGAGAAGACCAACAGCGTACATCACTGAAAATGTAGGTCGGCAAGAAAATACCCATGAGGGCTGCAACAAAGCAACTCTGTCTCTTCAAAGAATAAAACTGATGGAAACTCTTCCCTCGTAATTAGCAAAGGGCCTTTTTAGAGGTTCTCCACTGATGTGGTGTAGCTGAACCCCTCTTAATAACAATTAAGCCTTAGATTTGCATACCACTTTCAACATTTCAAAGAGCTTCCACAGGCTTTATCACAGAATCAGTGTGGGCTTCCTTGGCTTCCCCAGGGGCCCGCAGGTGCTCGCTGCTCTGCTTCCTACCAGCGGGGCAGCCTACAAGCCTGCTACATTGACACCCCATGTCCAAACCAGCAGCACAGTGAAACTCACACTTGTGGGATAAAGCCTTATCCACTGACCCTAGAACTTCCTCCTGAACAAGATTTGTGAAGTGAAACTAGCTTGTAGTCATCCTAAAGCAAGAAATGCAGGAAAAAAGCATTTTGTGTCTTGGAACTATCTGGTAACACATTCATCCAAAGTCCATTCAACAGTGATTCCTTGACTGTCTGTTAAGGGAGGATGCTACAGTTAATGGTGAAAAGCATTTGCCCCCAGAGAGGTTACATTCTAGTAGGGAAAGAGAGACAATAACAAAATAAACAGATACATACATGGCATATCAACTGATGAAAAGTGTCAGGGCATGTTTAAGGAGTGGCCATTGCTGGGGAGAGTGGTGGGAAGGGAGGTTCCAGAAGGAGCCTGGAGCCCAACTCCAGAAAAGCCTTGTAGCTTACTGTAAGAAATGTGGCTTTAGTTAGAGTGAGGCAGGGAGTCATTCAAAGATTTGTAGCAGAACTGTGACACTGTCAAATGTACATCTGAATAGCAACACTTGGCTGTTATGTTGAGAACAGATAGATGAGGGACTGAGCTGAAGCCAGGGAGTTAGCTACCGCAAGAGTTCAAGTGAGGACAAGAGTGAACGTTCCTTCATGCCTCTTTTAAGCCAAAACTTACTCCTGCTCCAGGTAACCACTGATTTTATTTATTGTGACTATTGGTTAGTTTTACTTGTTCTAGAATTTCATATAAAGGAAGAGAAGAGGGTAATGAAGAGGAAGGGATAGAAGAAATATGAGAGGGCAGGGTGCAGAGGGAAGTGGGTGTAGATCCCATCACTGGGGAGAAGGGATACATTTCATTGTACCCTCTTTTGTTGGTGAGTGGCTTGCTTGACATTCTGAGCTGTTAAAACTGACTAACTGTTATGGGTTTGGCTGTCTCATGTGGCAGGGTCTGGGGGCTCCTAGACAGAGGATGATGGGGAAGGAAGCCTGCCTGATGCCTTGCCATCTTCAGTGAGGGCCTTCTCACAGGCCAAATCCCACAGGCACCATCTGTAGGGCAGAGTCTCGTGGTTCCAAGCTTTCCGTCACCTTGCTTGCATTTGAACTCTCCTCTTCTCCAAGAGCCATTTTCCAATAAACTGAAGAGCACACAATGAACCCACTTTACCAAGCTGCTTTTCACCTTCTTGGTTATTCTTGGTCCGCACACCAAAAAAAACCCAGCACACTCTACATAAAGCTATCTCACCCTATCTCTACAACAGTGATTAAAGCTCTTCCCTCTTTGAAAAACTGAAAAAACAATAACACTAACTGAGTTTTCAAAATAAATTACATTCCCTCACAATTCTGCCACACGACTGTTATTATTTTCATATATGTTGTCTTCATTTTTGTTCACAGGTACACTTATTTTATTTAACTGGAATAATAGTTGACAAACATTTTGCAATCTTTTTTTTTTTTCACTTTTGGCAGAAATTTTATTTTAACCCATAGGAAAAACATGTATTAGTTTATCATGTCACCGGGCAGCTATTTATTTTTAGTCTGAACTAGTTTTGCTTGCCTGAAGTGATTAACACCTTGAATAAACACAACATCGAGCCTCTAAACAACAGAGATCCTATTATACATTTCAAAAAATCTTGCATAACTCAAGAAGTGGGTATAGGTATGTTACATGCAATCATTTTTTAGTTAATTCAAGCACTAAATAACTAACATTACCATTATTAAAAACAACTTATTGAGTGTATTCTAGATAGAGATTTCTGTCCTAGTTACTAAGTATAAAAAATGAATAAAACATTAGCCCTGCATTGTTTTTTCTCTACCAAGATAAACCAAACTGGCAAAGTGTTGACAATAAATAAGCATTTTAATATCATATGAACAACATGTGGCACTCTCATCATGGGAAAGAAACAAGGGTTAAAACTTATGCAACCTGATTTGCTACTGAATAATAACTAATAGATTTTTCAATAAGCACTGGGCACTCTGGTGACCAGTATCTATTTCTGGTCCCATAAAGTCAGCATTTAAAAAGAGAAGCCTGTAATTTTCTTTGAGAGAAAAACATTTAACACATTTCCAAGCAAGTGCAAAGTAAAATGTGCCATTAAGACTTCTGAGGGGTCTGAAGGCCATGATTTAAAAGAGAGTTCGCCATTGAGAAAAGTGTTCAGTGGCTTTTCATATCACCACTGCCGATTCCCCTTTCAGACGCACGGGGTGATTTTTGGTTCAGGGCCACCACTGCACCATGGCCTTGAAGCCCATGCAGCAGCGTGGAAGGAGGTGGCAGGCAGTCCATGTGAGGTTTGAGGGGCCAGGGCTGATGGAGGGACTAGTTCAAGGGCAGCAATTCTCCACTTCAAGTGAAATTAGGTTAAAATGAATACCCTGGGACTGTCTTCAAGAAGAAAAGAGGTCAAAAAAGAGACTCTCACGTGTGTGTGTGTGTGTGTGTGTGTGTGTGTGTGTGTGTGTGTGTGTGTGTTTAAGAGGCAAAGGATGGCTGTGGTTACAATTGTGATGATGGTATTGGGGCTTCTATGGGGAGGTGGAAAGTGCAAACCTGTTAGAATGGAGGGAGACAAGGATGATTGGTTGTATAGCAGTCGTGTAGTCATATATATATATATATACATATATATATACATACATATGTATACATATATATATACACACACACATATATATACATACCTAGACCTAGACTTAGACTTAGACCTATACCCATCACAGACATCCTCACATGGCTGAACTTCTTGCATCCATAACTTCCTTAAGGAAGGCTCTCTACCACAGATCCATGCTTTCTTGCATCTAAAAACAATGGTGAACCAGGAATATGGAAATAAGAAACGCTTCCGTCCACTTACCTTCTCCAGCGCAGCTTGAACAACTGATTCGCTTTCTGTGTCTAGGGCAGATGTATCCTCATCTAAGATCAGAATTTTGGGGTTTCGAACTAAAGCTTGTGCAATCGCAATCCTCTGTTTTTGTCCTTCACTCATTTGAGCTCCTTTTCCCCCACCAATGTATTAAATTTCTAATGAAAAATGGGAAATAAGCACAGAAACAGAAGGCAGCACAATCAAATTTTAGAACAGGAAATGACAATCACAGTTGTGTTTTTCTATCAGCTTAATCACTACTTATGTACTTATTAAGATTTTTGATTTGTTGTTTGTAAAAACAAACAACTGTGAAAAAAACAGCCTAGTGAAGAGAGGACAAAATTTGACTAGGACTAAAAAACAATAGAGCATATGACAATCTAAATCTAATTTTGGAAAAATTAGCAGTAATTTGAACTAATCTTCAAATCTCTTTTAGGTGTTTTTGTAGAGTGCTTTGAAATCGTTAAAAGTACCACTGTAATGCAGATACATATTTAAATATTATTTGCAATGTTTATTAGCCAGCTAGTATATCATCCATAATTTCTTTCCTGGATAATCTGAAATACAGTATAAAAAAAAATTACTAAACATATTTCCCCCTAAAGCTTTTTTCAATCTTGTGAGACATTTTAGGACTTCTTTTACTTTTTTCTTTGTACATGCATCTTTGACAAAGTAGATAGTACCTATTGGTGGTAGGATTCTACCACCAATGAATCATGGTTAGTAATATTCTATTAGGTAATGTCTGATTCAAAGTTCACTTCCTCAAAGACAGAAATCTAAATATTCTTTCCAAACCTTTGATGTCTAAAGACTGATCTGTGAAGTAAAAAAGATTAAATGAAAAAATTAAATTAAAAACTTAAAAATTAAATTAAAAAAATCGAGCCATATTGATGAATAATTTATACACAAAAAATGAAATAAAAGAAACATTTTAATGAGTTTTGACAATGAGTACCCCCTTGTGATCACCACTCCATTAAAGACACAGAACATTTCTGTAGGCCTAGTAAATTTCCTCATGCCAATTTTTTAAAAGTAAAAAACCATACTCTGCCTCCAGATACCCATGATTTGATTTTTATCATCATAAATTAATTTCACTTGTTCTAGGATCTTCTAGAAATGAAATCATACAGCATGTACTTTTTGAGAGGGATTCTTTTTACCTAGCATCATGTTTTTGGGATTCATCCATGTTGTATCAGTAGCTTGCTCCTATTTGTGTGTTCTACACAATGCAATATACCTTGGGTTGCCAGATTTAGCAGAAGCAACAAAAACACAATAAGAAAACACAGAGTCAGTTAAATTTGAATTCAGAAAAACAACAAATTTTTCTTAGAATAAGTATGATTCATAAAGTATTTTTGACACATGCTAAAAATTATTTGTTATGTGAAATTCAAATTTTCACTGGGAATTCTGCATTTCATCTACCTAGAGCATCAGTTTGTTTATCCATCCAGCTACAGATGAACATTTATGTTGTTTTCAAATTTGTACTAATAAAAATAAAGCTACTATGAATAATCATATGCAAGATATTTTTGTGGTCATTTTTCATTTCTTTTGGATAAATACCTAGGAACAGAATGCTGAGTCATAAGTATATGTTTAGCATTATAATAAACCATCGATCTGCTTTCTAATGTGGTTGTACTGGTTTAACTTTTATCCAATTGCTTATGTCATCAACAAAAGTTACATATTCCAGTCTTTTTAAATTTTGGCCATTCTTGTGAGTATAAAATAGTATCCAACTGTGGTTTTACTTTGGATTTCCCTGGTGACTAATAACGTTATTTTCCATGTATGTAATGTATTTGATTATTCTTTTGTAGAATGTATGTTCAAGTTTTTACCCATTTAAAAATTTTTATGTTTGTGTCTTTTTTTCCAAGTTATAATAGTTATTTTTATATTCTGGATTCATTTCATTATCAGATATGTGCATTCAGAATATTTTTGTGTAATCTCTGTCTTGTCTTTTTATTTTCCAGATGGTATTATTTAAAAAGGTTTTGATTTTAACAAATTCCAGTTTACCATTTTTTAAAATAGTAATGCTTTTCTGTCTATGAAATCTTTGCCTACCTCAAGTTCACAAAGACTTTGTTCACAAAGACTTTCTCTTATTTTTATTTTTGAATTTTATGCCTTAAGTGTAAGCTTTAATTTGTTCCTGGTGTAATGAAAAGGTTGCAAATCGTTTTTTTTCCCCCATACAGATATCTAATAGTTCTAGAACCATTTATTAAAAAGCTCTTACTTTCTCCCACTGAATCCCATTGGCCTTGTCAAAAATCAATTGGCCAGATATATGGGAGTCTATTTCTGGTCTTTCCATTTCATTGTACTGATCAATACATCATCATTACATCATAGTCATAATTGCTGTCTTAAAATGGTGGCTCATGCCTGTAATTCCAGCACTTTGGGAGGCCAAGGCAAGAGGACTGCTTGAGTCAAGGAATTTAAGACCAGCCTGGGAACACAGTGTTTCCATAAAATTTTTTTTTTACATTAGCCAAGTATGGTGGCATGCTCCTACAGTGCCTGCCAGTTGGGAGGTTTAAGTGGAAGAATCACTTGAGTACAGGAGATTAAGGCTGTGGTGAGGTGTGTTTGTGTCACTGCACTTCATCCTGGGAGACAGAGTTAGAGCCCAACTCAAAAAATAAATAAATAAATAAATAAAAATCAGACATTTAGGTCTTCCAGCTTTGTTCTTTCTCAAAATTGTTTTGGCTATTCTTGGTACTTCAAATTTTCAAATAAATGTTGGAATCAACACATTTATGCACAGAAAAAGGCTGGTGGGATTTTGATTCATAAAACATTGATTTATAAATCTACTTGGGGAGAATGTATATCTCTAAAAATATTGAATTTCTAAATCAGTGAATAAGGCACATCCACTTTGTTTAGATCTTCATTCATGTTTCTCAGCAATGTTTTAGCATAGAAGACTTGCACATCTTTCATTAAATCTATTCTCAAGTATTTTGCTTTTTGATGCTATTGTGAAGGCTACTTTTTATTTTATTTGTTTATTTATTTATTTGAGTTGCAGTCTCACTCTGTCTTCCAGGCTGGAGTGCAGCGGCACATTCATGGTCACTGCAGCCTCAACCTGCTGGGCCCAGGCGATCCTTCTGTCTCAGTCTTCCAAGTAGCTGGAACTATAGGCATGTGCCACCAAGCCCAGCTAATTTTTTGATTTATTGTAGAGATGAGGCCTCGCCAAGTTGCCCAGGCTGGTCTTGAACCTATGGGTTAAGGCATTCCTCTCACCTTGGCTTCCCAAAGTGCTGGGATTATAGGCACGAGCCACTGTACTTGGCCACTACTTTTTATTTTAATTTCATTTGTAACTGTTGCTACTATTTAGAGACTCAGCTGGTTTTTAAAAATAGCTCTAGGTCAATTGAAGATGCTTATTTTTCTTGGATAAGTTTTGGTAGTTTGTGTTTTTCAAGGGATTGACCCTCATCTAAGTTGTTGAATTTATAGACATAGCATTGTTCATTGTATTCCCTTTTGATTGATGTTTTAATGTCTTTGGCACCTTCTTTCATTTCTGATATTGGTTATTTCTCTACTCTCTCTTTTCTTGTTATCAGCCTTGCTATAGTTTTACTGATTTTATTGATCTTTTTAAGGAACCAGCTTTTGGTTTCAATGATTGTATTTAATTTTTGAGTTTTTGATTTATTTCTGCTCTAATTTCCTTTCTAAAGAAATCTTTCATTTTAAAGATATGAAGTATAATTCAGGGTTAGGTATACAAATGTTCATTATGCAGGTACCCTAGTTGATGACGTGTGGCTCCCCCTCCCCTGGCAGTTTCCCTCAATTGCCAATCCCATCTCCTCTCCCCTGGCTGTTTCCCACTACTGCCAATCCCTTTCTTATAGTATTATGATAATTGTCCAAGGTCGGCTTTTTAGTGAGAATATATGGTACTCTATTTTTTGTTTCTGTGATAGATCACTGAGTATGATAAACTCTAAATCCATCCAAGTTGCTGTGAAGTCTATATGTTTGTCCTTCTTTATGGCTGCATAATATTCCATTTTGTATATATACCACTTTTTTTTTTTAATCCAGTCCAGTTTCAATGGGCAGTAGGGTTGGTTCCATGTTTTGGCTAACTGCTTGGATTTCCATTATTTACTTCATCTTGCTTGCTTGGGGTTAATTTGTTCTTCTTTTTTCCAGTTTCTAAAGGTCAAAATTTGGTTTGAACAATGTAGATCTTTTTTCTTTTCTAAAAATAAGTATATAATACTATTAGTTTCTGTCACAGCAGTGCTTTACTTGTATTCCACAAATATTGACACATTGCATTTTTATTTTAAAATTCAAAATAGTTTGTAAACTGTCTAAAAACTTTCCCTTGAGCTTTAGATTATTTAAAAGTATAATATTTAATTTTCAAATATTTGTGTATGTTTCAGGTATATGTTTGCTATTGATTTTTAGTTTAATTCTATTATGGTCTGAAAACATATTTTATATGTTTTCTATTCTTTGACATTGCTAAGATTTTTTGTTTTATTTTGTTTATTTTTAAAGGTCTACAATAATGTTACTTCAGTGAATGTGCTATGTGCACTTGCGAAGAATGTATTCTGCTGTAGTTGGCTGGAATGTTATATAAATATAGGTTAGAAGACAGGCGTGGTGACTCATGCCTGTAATCTCAGCCCTTTGAGAGGCTGAAGTGGGAGGATTGCTTGAGCTCAGAAGTTCAAGACAGTCTGGACAACATAGCAAGAACTCATCTCTCAAAAAAAATCAAAACAAAATTAGCTGGCTGTGGTGGCATGCACCTGTAATCCCAGCTACTTGGGAGGCTGAAGTGGGAAGATCACCTGAGCCAAGGAGTTCAAGACTGTGGTGAACCATGATTGTGTTAATGCACTTCAGCGTGGGTGACAGAGTGAGACCCCAATTCAAAACAAACAAAAATGTGGGTTAAATTTAGCTGGTTGGTAGTATATTGTTTAGATTGTCTATATTCTTACTGATATTCTGCCGTCTTGTTCTCGCAAGTACTGAAGACTTCTACTTAAATTGTAGATTTGTCCAGTTTTCCTTTCAGATGTATTTATTTTGGCTTCATGTATTTTGAAGTTCCTTTCTTAGTGAATAAACATTTAGGATTATGTTTCTGCCTACAGATCCTATTTTCCTGTTTCTGTAAAAGACATACTAAATACTATGCGTGATGTATTAGAGAGACTCTGAATTCTGTTTTCTTCTTTTAAAAATGTTGGTTTTTATTACAGTAGGCAATCAAACACTGATCGTTCATCTTCAACGTGTGCAATCTTGGTTTCATGTTTGTTGGGGTGACTTTGTAGAAAGCCTCATAACTTGGCAGGGCCCAGCCTTCCCATTCTGTCTCCTCTGGGGATGCTGTCATGGCTTGGTTTCAGGCTTTGTTAGGGCAGGTCTAGAGCAGCGCTTCCTCTAAGGTGTGGTCCTGACTCCCAGGGTGTGGCTTTTTTGGTGCCTCAGCTACACGCCTGGGGTGTTAAAAAAAAAGGTGTTAATGTGATCTCTCCATTCTGGCTGGGCTGCTCTGTCAACATCCCACAGGACCCCTTGACTTCTAGTATTTGCTCCACTCTCGTCTCTCTGGTAAGCCTTGGGTCGTCTCATCCTCAGACGAGGATTCCCCAGGGATGCCACAAAGCCTTCTGCCCCCACCTCAGTTCCACAGCTCCCTTCTCACCTTCCCAGTTGCTTATGTTACCCTAAAATTTGATCTCTGCCTTCATCTCGGTAGAGCTGCCATTCTCTGCCTGGACTCCAGTTCACAGGGATGAGTTGAGCAATGCTGCAAATTGAAGACATTCCTTTTCCCTCAGGAATCACATACCCTTTCCCTACCTCTCATCCAATGTGTGCGTGGAAATGATTGTTCTATGTCTCATATGTCTGAGCCAAATTTATGGTTGTTTATGGGTAGCAAGCTAGTTAGTCACTATCAGCTAATTCTAATAAACGAATTTAAAAATATGGGTATATTACAGAGGAAGTAATATTATTGATTTTTGAGCATAGCTCAATGGTTCTCTAATGATTTACCTACCTGAGTTAGCCACCTCTGGAACTTTTATTTATTCTTGTGCTTATACTTATGTCTCTGGGTAACTCCAGCAGTGGAATTTGGTGTACATCATGATAAGCTTCTATATTTAATTTGTTCTTGGCTGATATCTTCAGGATTTATGATTAGATTTGTAGCAGGGGCATCTTTGTGTAGTATTTGCCTTTTAGTAAAAGGCAAGTAGCAACCTGCAGGGCATGATTTAAGTGGTACCAGAAAACTGCCTCATTCCAAGCAGGAAACGAAGAGTATTGGTGTTTTGAGGAAAAGAAGTCATTGACAGGGCAAAAGGCCACAAGAAAAAAGCATGTGTGTTCCCACACCACAGGCAAAGAATCGCCTTATGGCTTTCACGATTTTGCTGGTCTAAATCTATCCTAATGATGTTTCTAAATAATGATAATGGAAGGTAATCACTTGCATCATAAAAGTATTTTTTTAATTAAAAAAGCAAAAGAAAGAATAAAATTATTACAACCCATGGAATGTGGCTTGAAAAATATGTCCATTGACATGAATTTTTCTTTATTGTGACCTTATGGGATGATGAAATTTTATAGATATTTTAATTTCAAATCTCATTTTTTCATATTTCAGAGAGTGCTCCTTACAACATTAGGTGACACTTAAGGAAATGTAAATAAATGGTTTTATAGTGCTCCATTAACTCTAAATATGCATTAATATCTGATATGTCCTATTACCAAGAACTTTGGTTTACTATATCTCTTTCCAATAACAATTTCATATTCCTTGTACAACATAAGCTCCCCGTGCTTTTAAAAAACGACGTAGTTTGCCTTCTGGCTTGTCACAGAACCCATCTGAACACTGTGTGTATGACATTCCCACTCTTAGCCACAAGAGGGCCTCGCAAATCAACATTTCACGCACATCCTTTCTTGGCTTGGCCTGCTTAGTGTGTCTCATTTCTTTGTGAGAATTTAACTAACATATTCTCCTTTTTTCTTTCTTTTCCATTTGCAGAATTAAGTAGAACTCTCTTGAAATTGACCTTTCTATGATACATTTCTTCTTGTGATTGTTACCATGCTGTCTTCGCTACAGATATTGTATCTAGGACAATCCACACATTAATCACACTCTCACTCTTCTGTAGATGTTACTGTCTCATTATCTTATGTGGGAACTTTGCAGGCTGTAGCTCTTAGCTAAGGACATTAGGCTACATAGTGTACTCACGTTAGGAAACTCCATGATAAAATCATAAGCATTTGCTTCCTTTGCTGCTTTTTCAGTCTCTTCGTCAGTCACACCATCTCATCCATACTTAATGTTGTTACTGATGGTAGTCCTGAACAAGACAAGCTCTTGGCTGACCACTCCGATATGTTCTCAATAATGCTGCACATTTAAGGCTCTGATATCATTCCCATCCACCATGATCTGCCAATCCAAAGAATGAGACATGCTGTATTGATTTTAGAGTCTCTCTCTAGATCAAAATATAAACTGCAAAATAATATATTTCAGGAAGCAGGCACTGGCTATATTTTAATAGAATATTTATAACATGTATATTGTCAACAGACTTTTTCTGGCAGATAGGAACCAGCAAAATCACAACAACAACAACAAATAATTGGCATAAAATCTTGCCAAACCATCTGAATATCTTTCTTCTAAGATCCACAAGTTAGGCATTATAAAGATATATATTCCAAGTGCCACAAATATTATTGTGTAGGTACCTACAACAAACTTCAGTTCTGTTATTTTAAGACTAATGCAACCTTTAAATTTCTTCTAGGAAATAGCCTTTATTACATATCTTCAACACCTTACTCTTCTGCAAAAGACAAGTGTTTTTTCTTCATTGATATATTGATAATGGCAAAAATAATTCTATCTTTTCCATAGATAGTGTCATTACCCATTATCCCACCATATTCTGGTGACAGAAGCCAGGGTTTGGTCATTGTAACTCATATAGTCTCTATTCTTACCAACCCTAGTCTTCTGCTTGGCATGGGTGTTCTACCTAACTGCTTTTTACATGAAACACTCATCCAATAGTCTATTTAATCAATATTAGCACAACCACGGAAGTCTAAGATACTCCAAATGAAATCTTAGAAGTAAAATTTCAATAAAACCAGGCTCTAGAAGAGTATATTTTCTTTTTTAAAATGTTGAAAACTTGAACAGAAAGATTAAGAACTATGCACTTGTGAATATAACAGTCTCGTTCCCTATGCCATTTACAAAGCTGGGAAGGTTAAGGTTATTTGCAACATTATAAATAAAAGAAAAAAGAGGCCAGGCTTAGTGGTTCAGTCTGTAATCCCAGCACTTTGGGAGGCCGAGGTGAGTGGATTGCCTGAGCATGCGGGTTCGAGACCAGCCTGGGTAACTTGGTGAGGCCTCATCTCTACAATAAAAATAAAAAATAGCCGGGCATAGTAGTATGCATCTGTAGCACTGGCTAGTTGGAAGGCTAAGATGGAAAGATCACTGAACCCCAGAAGGTCGATGCTGGGATGGCTGTGAGTGTTCATGCCACTGCACCCCAGCCTGGGCGAAGGGGTGAGGCTCTAATTCAAAAAAGAAAGGAAGGAAGGAAGGAAGGAAGGAAGGAAGGAAGGAAGGAAGGAAGGAAGGAAGGAAGAGAAAAGAAAAGAAAAGAAAAGAAAAGAAAAGAAAAAAGAAAAGAAAAAGAAAAAGAAAGAAAGAAAAGAAAAAGAAAGAAAGAAAAAACAGAGTATGAGGATATTTTCTATAGGCATCACTCCTCTGGGGTGTTTTAACGGACTTTGACATTCTTAGTAAGTTCTGGGTAGTAAAAAATGCTGTTATTTTTCTCTATAGCATTAATTCTCTTCTAACATACTACGTAATTTACTTATTTTAATTATTGTCTGTCTCTGCTTATTAGAATGCAAACTTCAGGGGGCCCAGAGATTTTCACCTGTTTTGTTCACTGAGGTATTCATATTCCAGAACCTAGAACAGTGTATGACACATAATAAGCAACAGATAAATATTTGTTGAGTGAATACCCAGGGGAGGTATTCCAGCTCCACTGTTTTTTATTTTTCCAGCTCCACTGTTAAAATGTACAAACTAACGTAGCTGTGAGCACTCCATAACTGATGGCACTTCCCAGTTCCATCATGTGGACCATGTATGGTTTGGCTAACTGCACTTATCAAGCCGTTGTCAGGATCATATAACCTCTGCAGGAGCTGGATGGCAGTACTTTTCTCACTGCCATTGGGGCCAACCAAGGCGACTGTCTCTCCAGACTTAATTTTGAGGTTCAGATCTTTTAGAATCTATTGGAATGTATGGAGGGAAAGTCATAAAACTAGGATAAGCTAGAAAAGGATGGACATAATTCCAAGTATTGATGTATAGGTACAAAGAGAAAACAAATTCTTCTGTAAAATTAAAAAAAAAAATTAGTTCTTGTTATGTTCGTTTCATGTACACATGTAACCTACATAATCTGGAAAAATAATAGTAAAATAATCTCTCATCCTCTCTCTAAAGGTAAAGAAGAGATCTGAGTTGAGTACTTACAAAATATCAATTAGCAAACTGTTTACATTTTCAACTAAAATACCTTACATGCATTTCGTGACTACCAAGTTAGTAAAAGTTTTATCTTTTAAATTGCGACAAGTGAATGAAACCTTGCCAAATAGCTTCATGAACTATTTAAAGAAGCTCTTCTCTAGAACATACTTACATTATTGCAGAGTCTATTTCAAAGGTAAGTGAGTGGTAAGGCTCCCTAGGGGCCCCCATGGATGAGATTTTACCCTCAGGGGTCCTCACTCTCCAGTGGTGGATCTCATGGTGACATTTCAACAGGGAGGAACATTTCGAAAATTTTCTCAATAACTGGGGATTGCTACCAGCTTATAATGACCCAGGGACCCAAGATGTGAGAGAAGCCTCACAATAATTACCCTCTCCACACGAAAACACCTATCTTTGCTTGCATCTGATATATTTAGCCCTAAACACGGGACTCTCCCCTTGGACTCTCTCACTTTAATCTCATTATTTGTAAAGAATGAACCTTTTAAATAAGTCAAACATAAAAAACACACAAAACAAACAAACTAAAAACCTTCAAAGAGCCAAACAGAGAAAAACTCTACGGCAGGTGAGAAACCGAGGACCACCAGAAGAAATGCCTTCTCTCCCACTTACACTTTTACTCTAGAGTTGGTTTCTGTTCATTCCTTGAAAGAATCTTTGCTTTATTTCTTCACAATGGATGGATTAAAAAAAAAATTCATTTTCAGCTTAACAAAAGTCATGTTCCAACAGTTGATTTTATTGCTATTATTATTTGTGATTCTAAAACACCGCCTTTTTATTCTATCTCATCTTAAAAAACAATTGTTTAAACCCCAGAGAAGCCAGCATGGTGGCTCACATCTGTAATCCCAGCCCTTTGAGCTGAGGCAAGAAGATTGCTTGAGCCCAGGAGTTCAAGACCAGTCTAGGCAATATAGCAAAACCTCATCTCAAAAAAAAAACTTAGGTGTATTGTGTGCATGCCTCTAGTCTCAGCTACTCAGAGGCTGAGGCAGAAGGATTGCCTGAGCCCAGGAGGTAGGGGCTGTGGAGAGCCGTGATTGTGCCACTGTATTCCAGCCTGGGTGACACAGTGACATCCCAACTCAAAATAAAAACCCAAAGAAAAACAGAAAATAAAAAAAATCCCCAAACTCAGAAAGCACTTTCCCATGAAATATAATGACACAACTGGTGCTGAAGTCCCCAGGAAACCAATCCAAATGTAATTGCAAAATGGAGTTTAAAATACTCTATGTTAAGAAAAATGATGGAAGATCATACTATTCCAATAATGGTAATAAAGTAACAAAATTTTTTTAAAACAGAGAACTCTGAAAAGGTAATTTCATCAGAGGTTTTTGCTTGTTTGTTTGTTTATTTAGTGGGACTCTCACTCTGTTGCCCAGGCTGGAAGTGCGGTGGCACACTGCTCACAGCCACCACAACCTCAACCTGCTGGGCTCAGGCGATTCTTCCATCTCAGCCTTCCAAGTAGTTGGAACTACAGGTGTGTGCCACCACACCCAGCTAATTTTCTGATTTATTGTAGAGACAAGGTCTCCCCAAGTTGCCCAGGCTGGTCTCAAACCTGTGGGAGGCTCTCGCTCCCACCTCCAAAAGTGCTGGGCTTACAGGAGTGAGCCACAACGTCCGGCTTCAATCAGTTTTTAATTAAAGAAAAATAAGTAGGAGTAGGTAAGTCTTTTTTAAATCGCCTCTTGGCCTTTTGGTTAAGATCAAGTGTGGTGAATCTTTTTTAATGCAAATTCTGTAAGGGGTATTAGAGGTTGATGATATCAGTAATTGTATCTATTTCACTTAAAACCATATCCTACAGCTGGGTACGGTGGCTCACACCCATGATCCCAGCACTTTGGAAGGCTGAGGCGAGAGGATTGCCTGAGCCCATGGTTTCAAGACCAACTTAGGCAACTTGGCGAGACGTCATCTCTACATACAATAAATCAAAAAATTAGCTGGACTTGGTCGCATGTGCCTGTAATCCCAGTTACTTGGAAGGCTGAGGTGGAAGGATCAGAGTTTGAGGCTGTGGTGGCTGTGAGGGTGCCACAGCACTCCAGCCTAGGCAACAGAATGAGACTCCAACTAAAAAAAAAAAAAAAAAAAAAAGCCGTATCCTTCTTTTCCTATGAAACAAGTGTTTTATTTGTAATCACTGTTTGCAATCTTTAACAAAGCTTTATTTAACCACTTTTACTATTAAAGTGAAAGGGGAAGACAATGGAAAAGACATGCACATTTTCACTAGAATTTGCCAAAGGCTGAATGACAGAGGGAATAGGATAAATTGCAGATGTGTGTGTGTGGGAGAGGAGGGGCATGGGTAAAAGTGACAAAGTACCTGAAGCACAGTGGCTGGTGCAGCAAAAGTTCTAGGACAGGGAGAGGGAGAAGGTACATGTGTGTCATTCTTCCAGGTTAGAGAATAGGAGGTTGAAATGAGTCATCTATGTTGAATAGATTAATATTCCAGGAACCACCAATAGATGGCACCATCAATCCAAGACATTCTGGTTTTGTCCTTAGGTCAGAGTAAAGGAATCTCAGGGAGTTGTAAATGCTTTAGTTGGTTGAACAAGAGACTGCAAAGTACAGCTACTTGTTTCAGAGTTATTTGTTCATTCCTTTATCCACCCATCCATCCATCCATCCATCCATCCATCCATCCATCCATCCATCCATCCACCATCCATCTATCTATGATCTACTCAAGTTTCTAAGTAAAGTAGTCAAATTTAGCTCAAAATGATCCCAAATAATCTCATAGGGGATATCCTAGCCAACAGAAGATAATATCAGAAAACTGTACAAATGAGTATTTTAATTGAACTCACCTTGATAGATGGTCTGTATGGATAACTGAAATAAATATTTTTAAATTCCACAGTTTCTTTTATGCGTTCAGGTTTATATCCAGTTGTTGAAAAGTTATCTATAATGGGTTTCTTGGGGAAACAAAAGGAATGTTATAAATCTTCAAAGGACTAAGCTGACACTCTCCCTCCTAAAACTAGCTTGAAGAGAGTTTTCTTTGACAAAGTTTTTCTTTCTGCATTTGAAGTACATTGAGTTAGACATGAAGGCTTTAATAAAACACAATCCCCTCCTGGAAATGAACTAAAAACAATCTCTCTTTCCATAACCAACTGGTCAACATGGAGTTTGTCCACCTTATTGTTTAAGTGGAATGGGTATGTCTGTTTTTTGGTCTCCTTCTTATAGTAATGGTAGTTATTCTTCAAAGCAGTAGGAAGTCTTACCTTATCAATAACCTGGAAAATATTAAAGGCAGCTCCTTGGGCTACAGTGAAGGTTTCAAAGTGAGGGACTGCTGCTCCAATGCAATAACTACTATGGATGACACTAAAGAAAACCTAAGAAACGACAAAGAAGATTTACCTTTCTGCAGTTATATAAGAAAGACAACAGGCTGAAGTATATTTATGTATTTGTTTTAAGAAAGAATGGAAGATGTAATCAAACAAAAAGGAAACACAAATTAATTTAAGTATCCTTCTTGGCCTTCTCCTAGTATGAAATTTTGTTTTTGCTTTTTGGTGTTTTTTTTAGTTGGAGTCTCATTCTGTTGCCCAGGTTGGAGTGAAGCTGCACAATCACAGTTCACTACAACTTTGACCTCTAGTCCCAGGCAAACCTTCCACTTCAGTCTCCTGAGTAGCTGGGACTACAGGCATGCACTACCATACCTGGCTTTTTTTATTTTTTGTAGAGACAAGATCTAACTATGTTGCCCAGGAGTCTTCAAATATGACGTTCCTCAAACGCAAAATGGTTGACACAAAGAGAACACTAAAACATGTTGGATGAATAAGTCCTGTCAATTAATAACTATAATTTAAAGGTGTATATAAATTTTGGAAGGAAACAAATAGTTGTTTGTTAAAGATATTAATATTTGAATATTCATCTTTATTCAAAGAATTGTGGCCAAGGCTAAAGGATCACGTGAGGCCAAGAGCCTGAGATCAGACTGGGCAACATAGAAAGTCCCTGTCTTTACAAAATTAGTGAAGTTTGGTGGTGCACTTCTGTAGTCCTAGCTACTCAGGATGCTGAAGCTGAGGTGGGAGGAGAGAGAGAGAGAGAGGGAGAGAGAGAGAGAGGGAGAGAGAGAGAGAGAGAGAGAGAGGGAGAGAGAGAAT